TTTTATTTTTTATCTGTTGATTAGGGCCGGAGGAAAGATTGTTGGGTTGGTTGCCTACCTACGTTTTCCCTCCCACCCACCCCTTTGCATGCATTTCCCAGTTGGTACAGTGACACGTCAGCTACAGTGCCACGTCAACAGTGACACGTCAGACACTGACACGTCAGACACAGTGACATGTCAGACAGTGCCACAGCAGCAGTGCCATGTCAGCAACAGTGCCAAGTCAGCAGTGACACGTAAGCAGTGCCTCGTCACCAGTGCCACGTCACCAGTGCCACGTCAGTCACAGGGCCACGTCAGCATGACGGGCCCAGCTCTGGGCATGCCAGGCCAACTGGCCAACGAGTCTCTGGCCGACTACAAACGGCGGTTCCAGGTCCAGATCGCTCTGATCGACGCTGAGGAGCAACGCCAGCTGGCAGCCGAGGCTGCCCGCGTACAGGCCGAAGAAGCGGCAGCAGCAGAGAAGCTGCGGCTACAGGCCGACGCAGACGCAGATGCCCAGGCTCGCCGCAAGGAAGCCCAGGATCTGCTGCAGCGGCATGAAGCCAACAGCATCGACAGACTCAAGTTCTGGCACTTTGAACCGAACGGCGACGAGGCAACACCGGAAGAGCACCATAAGGAGTTCCTCTCCAAACTCGTGACACGGTTGTTGTATGCTTGCAACTACCAACGGTCCGAGTTGGAGAGACAGAACCAGGAACTGCAACAGTTGTTCCAGGATCTGAAGCAACAACGCCAGGAGTTGGCGAACCTCCGCCGGACGGTGCAGAGCCACGAGGATGCGACACGGGCACTCAATGCCCGTGTACTAGAACTGGAACAGGCAGTACCAGGACCAGATGCTGGTGCCTCCAGCAGTGCACCCTCTAGCCGCCAACTGGAGGAACGCGTTGACCACGTAGTGGCAATGCTCGGCGACATCAGCACCTTCGCTGCGCCGACCACCATCAGCAGTCAGCTGGATGCATTGAAGACCGAGGTCCAGCAATTGCAGTCGACGAACACGGATGGCAATCCAAAGTAATACAAGATGCCAACTTTTCAACTTGACAGGTTCGACGACTACACGCATCAGGACCCGGTGCTCTGGTGGGAAGCATTCACGACGCAACTTCGGATTCTGCCTGTCGCCAAACACGAGTACATCGGCGCCTTGTTCATGAACTCAAAGGACGGATGCCAGATCTGGTTAACTCACCTGGCAGCCACCCATGGCGTCGACGTCGCAGATCTGAAGGACAAGATCACATGGGAAGAGTTGACATGGCTGTGGAAGAAGCGGTTCATCGTCGACGACGCACCAGCACTAGCCATCAACCGTCTCTTCACCATGTCTCAGGGCAACACAGCAACACGTGACTGGCTCACGGAATGGCAGAAGATCGCGGCAGTGCCCAGTCTGGACTTACCATTCACGCATCTACGCTGTGAGTTCGACAACAGGTCATGTGCTGCACTGAGCCAGGCACTTGGTGATCGCGAGCAATACACCACCTTCGCTGAGATCATTGATAAGGCAAGGGAGATCATCAAGACCAACAGGTCAGTTGCACACGAGAAGTCAACATGGCAGCCAACCTATGTGGAGAAGGTGAGAACTGGTCCGCGACAGCAGCAGTTCGCTGCAGTCCAATCGGACAACACTGTGGAAGACCCGGCAGCCACCCAAGCGTCACGTGAGGGAGATCAGGTGGCTGCTGTCCAGCCGCGAAGCAACAACAAACCCCGAGTGAACGGGAAGGCGAAATCCGCATCGCCGGCCAGAAATGGACAGCCAGCACCACCATGGGTCAAGTTCGGCTTGACCCAGGCCGAGTACAAGTACCGCGGCCGTTACGGTTGCTGCTGGTGCAACAGCACCAAGCACAAGACCTCCCTTTGCCACGATCAGGCCAAGGAGGATGTGCGGCCTCGTCTTAACTCGGGAAACTGAGTTGCGTAGGAGGTGAGGCGACTCCACCTCTCACTCTGCCAGATTCGGTCGCCTTGCTAGCGGCCTCCTACACATCTGGGAAGGATGCGCATGTCGCAAGTCCTCGGTACACTTACGAGGATTATGCTGTCCACTTGGTCCCACCGCTGGACCAACCGCTCCATGTACAACACTCTACCTCATGCACAGTTTCATCACCATCAGCAACCGATTCGGCAGCTTCGCCGTCATCTACCGCCGGGGATTCAACGTCATGGTCAAGACTCGAAGCGCTCGACCCGTTGACTTTTGAGGACTTCGAGTGGATGCCCCTGCCCCGGTCCGGTCGATTGCCGAAACCGCATTGCAACGTGCTCAAAGCACAATTGCGGGATTACTTGCACACTGCAGAACCGACTCCGTTGATGGACGCCGGAGTAGAGGTTGGCGACCTTCACGCCTACATTGCGAAGATCGACCGCGAGTTCAAGACGCAACGGTACGATGACATGACGCACCATTGCTATATGTACACATTCAGATCGGAGAGGCGACCTGCAGCGCTTTGATCGATTGCGGAGAATCTCGCAACAACATGAGTCAGGACTTCATGGTACGCGCCGGCCTTGGCCCACGAGTCCGAAGGAAGTCCCAGCCCACGCAAGTCACGTTGGCGGACGGTCACACGCACAAGTCAATCGACCGGTGCATTGATGACGTCCCAGTGTACTTTGCCCCTCACGCAAGTGAGGCGAAGTCCTTTGACATTCTGTACACCAAATTCGACATGATCTTGGGCATGTCATGGCTGCGAAGCGAGAACCACCCGGTGAACTTCTACCGCCTTACCGTTCACGTTCGTGATCGGAACGGAGTATTGGTCCCATGCACGGTAGCTCCTCCTCACCCTTCAGTCAGTTGTCACGTGGTATCCGCCGCAAGCATGCGAGCTTCCATCATCAGAGACGACATCGAGGATACGGGGGTGTGTTTTCTCCACGCCCTCCCGCCCCATGACGCTTCATCGACGGACTCTTCTTCGGATCCACTCATCACCGAGCTTCTCGACGCCTACAGCGACGTGTTCGAAGGCCCGCACGGAGTAGTACCGGATCGGCCCATCCGCCACGAGATCATCCTCGAGGACGGGGCCGTACCTCCACGCGGTTGCATCTACCGAATGAGCGAGGAAGAGTTAAGTGTGCTTCGGGCACAACTCGACGACCTTCTAGAGAAAGGCTGGATTCGGCCCAGCTCATCGCCATACGGTGCTCCTGTTCTCTTCGTCCGGAAGAAGAACAAGGANTACGGTGCTCCTGTTCTCTTCGTCCGGAAGAAGAACAAGGATTTGCGGTTGTGCATCGATTATCGCAAGCTCAACGCGCAGACGATCAGAAACGCCGACCCTCTCCCACGCATCGACGATCTTCTCGAGCGACTGGGCGGCGCCAAGTTCTTCTCCAAGCTCGATCTCAAGTCGGGATATCACCAACTCGAGATCCGGCAGGAGGACCGTTACAAGACTGCGTTTAAGACGCGATATGGGCATTTCGAATGGCTGGTTATGCCATTTGGGCTTACGAATGCCCCGGCCACTTTCCAAGCGGCTATGACAACGGAGTTCGGACACATGCTGGATCGATACGTACTTATCTACCTCGACGACATCCTGGTGTACAGCAGGAGTTTGGAGGAGCATGTGGAACACCTGCGCACCGTTTTGGAGCGGCTACGACAAGCCAAGTACAAAGCCAACCGCGACAAGTGCGAATTCGCGCGGCAGGAGCTGGAGTACTTGGGACACTATGTGACGCCGAAAGGCATCCGTCCGCTTGCGGACAAGATCGAGGCCCTACGAGTATGGCCCGAGCCCACCAACACCACGGACGTTCGTTCATTCATGGAGTTGGCGGGCTACTATCAGTGATTCATCACCGGATACTCCCGGATTGCTGCACCTATGACGAGGTTACAGTCGCCAAAGGTGCCATTCGTATTCGATGACGACGCACGCCGGTCATTCCAAGCACTCAAGACAGCCATGCTCATGGCACCCGTCCTTAGCATCTATGACCCCGTCATGCCTACGAGAGTGACTATGGACGCTTCCGGCTATGGCATTGGGGCAGTCTTGGAACAACACGACGGCGATGACTGGCACCCTGTGGAGTAGCCACAAAGTGCCTCCCATCAACTCGCTTGATGATGCAAGGAAGAAGGAGCTGCTCGCATTCGTCATGGCTCTCAAGCGATGGCGGCACTTCCTCCTTGGGCGTCGTAGGTTCACATGGGTTACGGACAACAATCCACTGACCTACTACAAGACGCAGGATACGGTGAGCAGCACGATCGGATGATGGATGTACTTCATCGACCAGTTTGACTTCACACCGAAACATCTTCCCGGCCTCTCAAATCGCGCAGCAGATGCACTCTCGCGAAGACCTGATCTTTGCGCTATGACACATCATGCCTTCGCATTCGACAAGGAGCTTCAGCGACACTTCATCCGGGCATATGAGTCTGATCCGGGTTCCGCCACGCTGTATGCACAGCTATCTTCGGATCACCCGCCAGCCAGCCACTATCGCATTGCCGACGGGTACTTGCTCCTCCACTCAAGAGGCAAGGACTTATTATGTGTCCCATGCGACCGCCGTCTTCGGACTCGCCTCCTCGGCGAGAATCATGATTCGCGACTCGCCTGCCATTTCGGAGTCAACCGCACTATTGCACGGCTTGGCCCGATCTCATTACCGATGTCACTCGGTATTGCGACTCTTGCGAAGTTTGCCGACGCATCAAGTCCCACAACCGCAATCCCTATGGCGAGTTACGCTCGATGCCTATCCCACGGGAACCTGGTCTCTCCATTGCCATGGACGTCACCGGTTCGTTTCCCCGCGACCGGCTCGGGCACGACGGCATCCTCATGGTGGTGGACCGATTGAGTAAGTATGCACGTTTTCTTCCTTGCAAGTACTACTCCACGGCTCTCGAGCTGGCACGCCTCCTACACACCGGTTGGATTTGTGGCCACGGTGTACCGGAAGACATAGTCAGCGACCGCGACACTCGTTTCATGTCAGAATTTTCGACTGCGCTCATGCAGGAGTCCGGCACGACGATGAAACCAAGTTCGGCTCGACATCCACAGACAGACGGGCAGACGGAGCGGGCACATCAAACCGCTCAAATGATGCTTCGTACGCTCATCCGTCCGGACTAGAAAGATTGGGTTGACCGCCTCCCCGACATCGAGTTCGCCTACAACACTTAAGTGCACCCGGCGATCGGCGTGACTCCATTCGAGTTGCACCATGGTGGACGGAAAGGTCGTATCTTCGCCGACCTTCTCCTCCCTCGACCAACCGACATTGACGCCGCTTGCTCCCTCGCTTCCGTTCAGAAGTACAGGGAATTGTTGACGCAAGCCCGCGCGAACATGCAAAAGGCTCAAGTCCGCATGCAGCAGCAAGCCAACAGGCGTCGCGTGCCATGTCCCATCCGCGCCGGTGATCTGGTTTGGGTCTCCGTGGAAGAGTTTGCACTGGAACACGATGTTTCACGCAAACTGCTTCCCAAGTGGTTGGACCTTGGTCTGTGACAGCAGCCGCGGGCGATGAGCCCGATGGCCCTTCATGTGTGATCAACATTCCCGAGCATCTGACGGTCCATCCAGTCTTTCACGCCTCGAAGTTGGCAACATATACACCAGCTAAGAGCGACGACTTCCCGGGCCGACGATCGCAGGACCCTCCTTCTATGGATGGTCATCAGGAAGTTGACCGCGTCATCACGGATCGCAAGTACAGCAGCAAGCCGCGCCTGTACAAAGTTACATTCAGAGCATGCGATCCCGACGACACTCGGTGGATTTCAGGAGCAGATTTGAAAGCATCCGCACCACTGATCTACGCTCACTACGAGTGACAAAGGTTAGCTAAGGGACCTCCACGACCTGCCCCTCCCACCCGGACTGCGGTCCCTCCCTCAAACAGACAGCTTCGCCCTCACAGGTAAGCTCGGTCTTTCAAGGAGGGGGGGGGGTGGCATACTGCGTAGCCACACGGGCCCTGCAGGGCCCGTCCCGCACTTTCAGCCTAAAAGCCTAAAACTGAGGGCTTACAGGCCCCGGTCGTTTCAGCCTGAAAGCTGAAATACGAGGGCCTGCAGGCCCTAATCCGTTTCAGCCTATTTCTGGGCCTTTCAGGCCCAGAGGCTTTCCAGCCTGAAACGGAGGGCCATTTTCAGGCCCTCATTTGTTTCGACCTGCCCTAAGACTCAGGCATGAAAACWGGGTTTCGGAACAGGCTATTTCTGGCCTGTTCCCCACGCTAGCTCGAGCAGGAGCTGCAGCTGCAGCCCCTGCCTTCCTTCGACATTGGCAAGAGCAGCCTCCTGGACTGCTCGCCCGAGTCAGGAGGCACACCCGGTAGTACATAGGAAGTTCCCATGCACTTCACGGGTAGGTAGTTGTCAGTAGGCACGAGTAGTCTTCAGGATTCGGCCGCAGCACTCAGGAGGAGCGCTGCAGTAGTCTTCAGCATTAGTGGTAGTCTTCGGCGTTGGGCGCCCATACCAATAGAGTAGTCTTCAGCGCTGGGCGCTGGTAGGTGGTAGATAGTAGAGTTGGGAGAGCCACTGGCGGAGGCCAGTCGTACTTACCTGTGGCGCCATCGCTCCAGCTCCATCTACGAGGTACCTGCATCAAGGCACCAACTTCACAGGTTAGTACTGGACATAGAGAGAGAGAGAGAGAGTTCTTCTTCTTCCTCTTCTAAGTCCACCATCTCTTCTCACCCTCTCACCACCTGACTTCTCAGACTACGACAGAGAGAGACAGAGTTGTGACCTGAGACTGGATCCAGACTTGACATTTGGGATTCAGACATTTCGACGAGGGACTATTTGGGCCTGTGCCGAAGACTTGGTGTTGACGACATTCCCATCTTTCCCCTCCTCTTCATCTAACCCCTTCGTCTTCGTCTGTGTATGGTAGGGGCTGGCGCAGTCTTCCTGTGTGAAGCGCCAGGCCCCATTCACACCATGTAACGATGATGATGATGTATGTTCAGGGCTGCATTGCAATATTGATTGTTCGCATCACTGGTATCTAAGTCTTCCGCTGTGTTATCTTATACTTTGTATTGAGAGGTCGGTTCTTGTTCTGGTCTGCACGTTACAGTATGCAACAATAGCCTATAGTCGGGTAAGGTAGAGGCCGAGAGGCCGAAACTGAATCGGTACCGGTCAGTCAGTCAGTCCGGTCTAGGTCGAGTCTAGGCTAGTTTTAGTCTATAGATAGGAAGGGCACATCAGAGCAAGGCTTTTGGCAGTTGGTACCTAGTACATCGCTGCTACGCTATGCATGAACCGGAAGTGGTGACGGCTCAGCGTTGTGGGAGACAAACATAGCCAGACCTTCGGAGCGCCGGCCATACCTGGGACCTGCGCTGTACTCTGCCAGCACGCGGGGCTGTCAGAGGTCTGCTGGAGGCGAGAGAAGTTGGTGCCCTGCTGGACCCTCCTCCGGAGTGGGGTTCCAGGGTTGTGATGCCGCAGCCGTAGTTGCAGCTTCTTCCGCAGTGGTCATCTTGTCAGGACTTGGGTGGCGCTGCTGCAGACTTCCATCCGGGAAGTCTTCCGACACTTCGTCATCATCAGATACTGTGGCGCTGGTCTTCTTCTTCATCCTTCGAGTGGCGCTTGGCCTCAGAGGCCTGTTTAAGGGCCTCAGGGGTGTTACGGGTGGTTACTCAAGGCTGGGGAGTGAAGCGCTGCTCATTTCCGAGCAGCGCACTGTAGGTCTGAAGTTATTCTGACAATTTGAGACTCCGAGTTTAATACACAGTTTAATACTAGGTTTGGACTATCATCGTTTCATTGTTTCTTGGATGTGATCTACTCGGCTTTCCTTTATGACTGGTTGTGAGGATTGAGTGGAGTGAATTGCAATTTTAGTGTACCCTGTCATATCGCATGGTCAAGTCTTCCACTGTGTTTATCTCTCCCTGTGTGGTGTGATACTCCTATCCTCTCCCCTTCCTTTTGTGTATGTATGGGCATACCTAGAAGTCTATGTGTGCGAGTGTTGGTCTCAGACAACAAACAACCAGAATCATAACAGTTGGTATCGGAGCGATTGGATCCAAACTCTGGAGCGATTGATGAGTTGGAGCAGCCATCATCATCTGGCGAGATACTGGAGTCGAGTCTCATGGCGCTTCATCATCTTCAGGGTTGTTGTCAGTAAGGGTGGTGGTAGTGAGTGTGTGGCGAGAAGAATTGGACAGAGGGTGACTCACTCTTGAGTCTAGGGTTGTGCAGGAGTGGTTGGCGATTCGTCCTCAAAGGCCTGAGAGGCTTTGAGAGGCTATTTTTAGCCTGGCGATTCATTTGTAGGCTGGCGATTGGCAAGGAAGTGATCCCAGGAGGTTGCAATTTTGGAATTGGGTCAGGATCCCCAATTTCCAAGCAGCGCAGTACAGGGTGATGTGGCGATGCACTGAATTTGTCAGTTATTGGCACCTAGGAGTCCAAATTCATTGAATCTGTCAGTTGGGGTTGAAGCGCCTCAGGGTAATCTACCGGATCACCAAGTTTCAGGCAATTTGGTACATGGGAACACTGGGTGTCATCAGAAGATGAAACTGGCAAGATGGGGTTGACCAGTCAGCCATAGCCAGAGTTTCATGCAACTTCTTCAGAGTTGACCCTGAAGTAAGTGTGTTCCTTACTCTACTTGGTGTGGCGATTCTAGGTCTATTGTTAGATTAGCGAAATATGGTGTGTCAGTCAGTAGCCAGTTGAAAATTGAAATTCAGACTGTGGGACAACCATATCCAACTTCCCCTACCTATCTTCTTTGACTTCTACTAACCCTGTTTGACCTCCTTCCTGACTCAAATTTCATCTGTGACTGCTTTACAATGTTGTGATTCATACTGTACTGTGAATTGGATTGTTCAGGGTCCTATTATTAGTGGTAATGCAAATTTGAATTTTGTGCTGCCATAGCTGAAGCTTGGCTGAACTAGGGTTAGTCATAACTTAGGTTCTGTCCATCAGAATTCAATTCTATCAGTCCGTGCTAAATCGCAATTATGCATACACTCGGTGCTTGAAATCGCACAGTCAAATTTGATGTTCTGAGTTAGTTACAACGCAAACTGTAATTCGCCATACCCAGGGTATGGCATACAAGGTCATACAGTGGTGAAGTTTGCAGGGTAGGTCTAAAAATAGGGTTATCTGTAAATCGCTGCATCTTGGTTATCAGTGGACACCTGTCCATCCCTAATTAGTCACTCTGTCTAACTACTAATCAACATTAATCAGTCCAAGACTGCATCCTGTCCGTTATTGATGCAAGATTTGCAATTATTGCGTGCAATTGTTGGTTCAGGGCAGTGATGGGAAAATCGTGAAATTGATTTTTGCTGTGTACTCTAAACTGACCCTGACCCTCGAGTGGTCTGCAGAGACTGAGCACTCACTTACTCAGACTAACCAACCTTCTCTCTCCAGGCAGGTGGCAGCAACTGAGGGAGTACTAGAGAGAAAACTCAATTACTGCTACTTCATGTTTGTCTCTAATTATTTGTTTGTTTTTATTTATCTGGATTGGGGGATAAATTAAAATGGCAGATGTTGAGAAGGGAGAGGCTTCTGATGTGAAGCCTCAGATTCCGGTTGACCCTTTAGAGGCTGAACTGCTGGCCCAAGAGGAGAAACTCCGCCAGCAGGCCCAGGCAGTTGAGTCCCTAAAGGCCGAGCTGAAGAAGAAAGAAGAAGCAGCTCAGAAGGAGGCCAGGCGAAAGCTGCTGATTGCAGATGTAGAGAAGATCAGGGTGAGTGGTACTTCCAGCCAGTACAATAAGGACATGGCTGAGTTCATCCTCCTGTAGGATGATATCCATTGTTCCTAGTTTACTAACTGAGATGACCGTATTACCAGTTTGGAGAGTAGTCATTCAACTTTTTCCAAAAAGTTGGATGACATCTCTGCCAAACTGGACAAGATTTTTACTCATTTGAAGATTCCTACCACCCTGACCTTGCCTCCATCACCTGGGCCTTCTCAAGTAGGCCCTCAGCAACTCCCACAATCCAGACCCACATCCCCATCTTCTACACCCAAGTCAACAGTCGCTTCACAACCCTCATTTTCATTCGATCAGCAACGGCCCAAGATGACCCCTCCACCCATGTTCTCTGGCGAGGACCCTAAGGTGGATGTTGCAGATTGGGTCACTGCACAAAGAACCTACCTGCGTGGGTTCAAATGTGACAAGGATGTGAAAGTGCCAGCCATCCTTGCTCGTCTGGAGAGGACTGCACAAAAATGGTGCACCTCTACATCCAGCAAGCAAGGTACGGAGATGTCTGATTGGGCGCAGAGGTTGGGGGTGGCTGGATTTCTGCAGGCATTGCAGAACCGGTTTGCAGACAAGGAGCAAGCCAGAAAAGCAGCAGACAAAATTCTGCGTCCGGGCCAGGAAAAGTTTGATGGCTCCTTATCCAAATTGTACTCCACCTTTGAGAGTCTGACATCGACTCCTGGGTTACACATGAGTGAGCAGGATCTGCTCATTCATTTCCTCAGGGCAACGCCTGAGCAGTTCCAGCTTGCACTATTCTCTCAGGGCCACAAGGACTGGTGGTCCTTTGGCAGAGCAGCCCTGGACTTGGAGTCCAAACTCCATGTTCAGGAAGCACCTTCTGAAGGAAGGAAGGGACCCTCCTCAAAGGGGCGAGGAAGGAGGAAGGGTGCCCTGTTTGCTGTTGCAGCTCCTAGTTCAGATAGTGATGCAGCATCCCAGGGTGGGACCCCTCCATCTGGGACTGCTTCCTCATCTGCTGCAGATCCTGCAGCTCTTGCCCTGAGTGATGCTTTGATGGGCATGGCAAGGGGTAAAGCCCCAACCCAGAAAGCACCAACCAGCAGCAAGGGGAAAGGTAAGGGACGTGCCTCTTTCCCTAGTGCCCAAAGAGTACCACGACCACGAGACGTCCGTTGGCCAGCTGACCCCCTTGATCCTTCCACCTTCCCCTGGCATGCACTCAGGATCCAGGAGGGGGTCTGGAGGAAGAGAAAGGACAAGGGTGTCTGCCTGAGATGCAAGGGGGACCATTTCTTAAAGGATTGTCCCAGCATGCCTTGCAGGTCCACAGGCAGCTCTAGTTCAAAGAACTAGAGCAGAGAGAGAGGGAAGCAACAACTCCTCCCACCAGTGCTGATTCACTTTCTGACGAAGGTGAATCTTCACATTCTCTCGCTGGTTCTTCTTCTGGAGTTGCATCTTCAGGGTCCTTCACTTTTGAAGACTCTGAGTTGGATGAGACGTGGGAGGAGGAGGAGGCCCAGTGCCTTGCTGATCTTTTCCTGTCCTTGCAGGAGAAGAAAAAGCACAGGTCAGAACTCATCCTGCTTCGTTCGTCTATCCTGGAAGCCAAGATCAAAGGGCTCTTAGACTGTGGGGCTACTCGCAACTTCATATGTCCCAAGGCAGTCAACAAGTTGCACTTGGATCAGAGATTGGTGAAATTGCGACAGCCTATAGAGGTTCGCATTGGGGACTCTTCCACAGTCAGGATCACTACTGCTGTGAAGGGCCTACCTGTGTCCTTTGACAAGCAGGGAGAAATCAGGCACCGCCCTACGTGTTCCCTAACGTTCCCTTTGACCTTGTCTTCTCTATGCAGTGGCTTGGTGCCACCAATCCTAGGATCGACTGGTGGATCCCTAGGGTTGAGCTACCTGACCGGCATGGGGTTTATCGCCCTTGCATGCTCGCTAATGAGTATCATCCGGCCAACAACTGTTATTGCACGAGTGCTCGCAGATTTTTGCGTTTCTCTCGCCAGACTGACCACACCCATCTGTTTGTGGCTTATGTCAAACAGACTGATGTGGAAATTGCTCCCTGTCCCTCTCAAATTCAGCAGGTTGTTGACCGCTTCTCAGATCTTATGGAGGAGCCTACTAGACTTGTACATAGGCAGACCAAACATAAGATTGAGATCCTGCCCGGTTCGGTCCCTCCCAAGTGCCGAGTCTACAGGATGTCACCCGCTAAACTTGAAGAGCTCGGGAAACAATTAGAGACCTTGACCAGCAAGGGCTGGATCAGGCCCCGCACATCTGAGTTTGGGGCACCAGTCCTCTTTGTTCCAAAGGTGAATGGTGAGTTCAGGATGTGCGTGGACTATCGTGGTCTCAACAAAATCACGAGGAAGTCTACAGAGGCCCTTCCTCGCATTGATGATCTGTCGGACATGGTGCAGGGTTGTTCCATCCTTAGCAAGATCGACCTCAAATCTGGTTATCACCAGATTGAGATGGCTGAGGGCGATGTCTATAAGACAGCCTTCAAAACCAGATATGGGACATATGAGTACCTGGTCATGCCATTCGGTCTCTGCAACGCCCCAGGCACCCTCCAGACAGAGATGCATCGCATACTCAGGCCTTACCTGGACAAGTTCGTAGTTGTCTACCTAGACGATATCTTGGTATTCAGTCGTTCTGTCCAGGAGCATGCGCAGCATCTGGCTCTGGTCCTCCAGGACTTACATGATAACTAGTATAAGATCAACAGGGAGAAATCCTCTTTTGGGTTCCCCTCTGTGATCTATCTAGATCACGTCATTTCTGGAGAGGGGTTAGCTCATGAGGCAACGAAAGTTGCTGCAGTTCAGGACTGGCCGCGGCCTGCCAACATTCGTAATGTCCGATCTTTCTTGGGTCTTGCATCTTACTACAGGAAGTTCATCAAGAACTTCTCCTCTATTGCAGCACCCCTGACTGTACAAAGAAAGACACTTCCTTTCTTTGGACATCAGAGTGTCAGGAGGCTTTTACACGTCTCAACGAGGCCTTGATTTGTGCCCCTGTTTTGAAGTTACATGACCCTACCCTGCCTTTTGTGCTCACCACTGATGCTAGTCAGTATGGTGTAGGGGCGATACTTCAACAGGATGATGGGAATGGTCTGCAGCCTATCGAGTATATGAGCAAGAAGATAAAAACCAAGAAGTTGCAAGACTCTACCTATGAGAAAGAGCTTTATGCTCTTATGTCAACGCTCAAGCATTGGAAACACTTCCTCATGGGCAGACACTTCAAGATCTTATCAGATCATTCCACCCTGAAGTGGATGAAGTCCCAGTGAGAACTGAATGACAAGCTTGCTCGCTATATCCAGTTCATTGACATGTTTGACTTTGAACTGAGACACAAGAAGGGCTGCTACAATTGGATAGCAGATGCCCTTTCTCGTAGGCCTGGCGCTCTTTTTATGATCTCCTTTACTCACTCATTTGGAGAGAGGACTCATCAGACCATTGCCCGGTTGCTGCCCAAGGATGCGATTTTGGGGCCTATAGTGAGGAATCTCCAGGATGATCCGGCATCTGAACCAGGATATATGGTTTCAGACCTGTTGTATACTTGCAGCAGAGGTGAGGAACGCCTGTGCATTCCCCAGGACCGCAAGTTGAGAACACTCCTGATGTCTGAGTGTCATGATGCTCATGGTCACTTTGGAGCCCGCAAATTGTATGCAGCCCTGTCGCAGCGCTTCTTCTGGAAGGAGATGAGGAGTGACATGCTGCACTATGTGGAAACCTGCGAGTTATGCCAAAGGAACAAGGTAGTACGACGACCTCCCCTTGGCCTACTCAAACCACTACCCATCCCTGAGGCACCTGCACAGTCAGTGTCTATTGACTTTACTGACTTGGGTAGGACCACACCTCATGGTATGCGTCAGGTTATGGTGTGCGTGGATCGGTTCTCCAAATATGCAGAGTTCATCCCCTTACCAGCTGAGGCTCGTGTTCCAGCCGTTCAGGCGGCATTTGCTGACAGGTGGGTCACACATCATGGACCACCCACCTCTATAGTCAGTGACCGAGATCCTCGTTTTTGCAGCAATGAATGGCAATCCTACTGCAGGGATTACCTTCATTCCAGACAGGATATGACATCTGGTCATCATCCTGAAGCCAATGGATAGGCTGAAGTGATGAACCAGATTTTATTTCAGTTGTTGTGTCCTGTGATCGGTCCAGATCAGCAGGACTAGGATCTCCATTTAGGTCGTGCACAGCTAGTATACAATACTTCTGTACACTCTCTACTGGCTTTACACCCTACCAGTTACACTGGGGTCGTGCGCCACGGCAGCCTCTCGATGACATCATCAATAAGGCTACCCCTACGCTGACACCTGGAACTGCAGAGTTCACCAGGCGTTACCGTGTGGACATAGAGCGCGCCCGTGCCAACCTGCTGAAAGCCCAAAAGGCTATGATTCATCAGGCTAACAAGCACAAACGTCTTTCTACTATTCGCACACGTAATTGGGTGTGGGTACTCAGTTATGAGTCGTCGAGAGAGGAGGATATTTCGCCTAAGCTGCTGCCACGATACATGGGTCCATGGCAGGTCTTAGATACAGTGGGCACAGATCCATTTGGACCATCCTACACCGTGGATGTCCCTCTACATCTACAAACCTACCCTGTCTTTCATGCATCTAAGTTGTTACCATTCACCTCAACAGATGCTTCCCAGATAGGCCTCCTCAGTTCGGTCCCCCTATCCCTGGCAAAGGATATGAGGTGGAGTCCGTTGAGGATGAGTCAGGTATAGGACCAGATAAGGAGTACCTTGTGAAGTTCCTATACGAGCCACATACAGAAGATCGCTGGTTTACTCGCAAGGAACTTCTGAAGACTGCAAAGTCTGCCATTCTCATATATGAGGCAGCACAGAAGGGAGAATCCCTTTGGCGCTCTGCACGCCTACGCCCATAGCTCGGAGGTCCTCGCTCCAGGGGAGGGTAGGTCTGCAATGACTTGCTGTTTTCTGGTCGCCTATAGCCTCTCTCTGTCGAGGCCGTACTATAGGAAGGACAAATTCGTAATTTTGTTTGGTTGAGGGCTAACCGAGTGGCCTGCCTGTAAGGAAAATTCGTGAGGGACATATCTGTAAATATGGGAAAATACAAGCCCGTACTAACTGAATTTCCTACAGCTAACCTAACCGCAAATAGCAGGCCTGGGCTACCCCAAGGAGAGACAGGCCCAACAGGCCTATGCTGATAGACGGTCCTATAGCCTATAGCCGGGTAAGGTAGAGGCCGAGAGGTCGAAGCTGAATCGGTACCGGCCAGTCAGTCAGTCCGGTCTAGGTCGAGCCTAGAGTTTTAGTCTATAGGTAGGATGGGCACATCGGAGCAGGGATTTTGGCAGTTGGTACCAAGTACATCGCTGCTGCGCTACTCGTGAACCGGAAGTGGTGACGGCTCAGCGTTGTGGAAGACAGACATAGCCAGACCTTCGGAGCGTCGGCCATAGATAGGACGTGCGTTGTACTCTGCCAGCACGCGGGGCTGTCCGAGGTCTGGGTTATTGAGGTCTGCTGGAGGCGAGAGAAGTTGGTGTCCTGCTGGACCCTGCTCCAGAGTGGGGTTCCAGGGTTGTGATGCTGCAGCCATAGCTGCAGCTTCTTCCTCAAAGGTCATCTTGTCAGGACTTGGGTGGCGCTGCCACAGACTTCCATCCGGGAAGTCTTCCGACACTTCGTCATCATCAGATACTATGGCGCTGGTCTTCTTCTTCATCCTTTGAGTGGCGCTTGGCCTCAGAGGCCTGTTTCCAGGCCTCAGGGGTGTTACGGGTGGTTACTCAAGGTTGGGGAGTGAAGCGCTGCTCATTTCCGAGCAGCGCACTGTAGGTCTGAAGTTATTCTGACAATTTGAGACTCTGAGTTTAATACACAGTTTAATACTAGGTTTGGACTATGATCGTTTCATTGTTTCTTGGATGTGATCTACTCGGCTTTCCTTTATGACTGGTTGTGAGGATTGAGTGGAGTGAATTGCACTTTTAGTGTACCCTGTCATATCGCATGGTCAAGTCTTCCGCTGTGTTTATCTCTCCCTGTGTGGTGTGATACTCCTATCCTCTCCCCTTCCTTCTGTGTATGTATGGGCATACCTAGAAGTCTATGTGTGCGAGTGTTGGTCTCAGACAACAAACAACCAGAATCATAACAATGACCTGCCCCCTCGTTACTTCCACTGCTCGTCACCTCCCTCCCCATTACCTGCCCCCTGGTTACCTCCACTGCATTACCTCCTCCCTCCTCATCGCCTCCTCCATGTTACCTCCTCCTCCCTCCACATTATCTAATCCCTCCAGGTTACTCCTCTCTCCACGTTACCTCCCCCTCTCTCCACGCTATGTCCTCCTCCCTTCGTGATCTCCTCCTCCCTCCATCCCTCCACATTACCTTCACGATGTTCCCTCTACGTTACGTCCTCCTCCCTCCTCGTCGCCTCCTCCGTGTTACCTCCTCCTCCCTCCATGTTACCTCCTCCCTGCATATTACCTCCTCCCTCCACGTTACCTTTGTGACGTTCCCTCCATGTTATGTCCTCCTCCCTTCACGATCTTCTCCTCCCTCCAGACAGACAGATAGACAAACAGAGACGGTGCCCACCCCTTTGCCTGTGGCACTCCTCCATGTTACCTCCTCCTCCATCCATGTTACCTCCTCCCTCCATATTACCTCCTCCCTCCACGTTACCTTCCCTCCATGTTATGTCCTCCTCCCTTCACGATCTTCTCCTCCCTGCATGTTCTCCTCCTCCTTCCACATTACCTTTGCGATGTTCCCTCTATGCTCTGCTTATCCTCCAATCAATTCGTTATTGTTGAAGAATAGTAAGAAACCAGCGGAAAAAAAAAAGACCTTGTGAATGGGGGGAGAGAGAGAGAGAGACAGACAGACAGACAGACAGACAGAGAGAGAGAGAGACAGTGCCCACCCCTTTGCCTGTGGCACTCCTCCTTGCCCTCACCTGCACCTTCGACCATCCTCCTCCTGAACGCCATCCCTCAACCTTCAACTCCCACCATCGATCGCCCTCTACTCCATTCGTCCTTGTCCAAGAAAAACGAAAAAGGCTAAAAAAGCCGCAAAAAAATTGAAAGAAAACTTGTGTGTGTGTGTGTGTGTGTGTGTGTGTGTGTGTGTGTGTGTGTGTGTGTGTGTGTGTGTGTGTGTGAGAGAGAGAGAGAGAGAGAGAGAAAGTTGGCAGGCACTCTCCTTGCGGGCAACAAGAGCATCGGTGGGCGAAAACACCTACTCCAATGCAGGCCGCAGCTCACAGAAGTGTTGGGGCGTTTTTTTCCTTCGTGCTCGAGGGATACTGATTCTGAACACAACGCTGGCAGCGGTGTCTGGCAGTGTCCTATACGCCCTCTAACGGGCAAAAAATACAGTGGGTATTTTTCGGGGCGGCCTAGGACCTGAAAAACCTCCTAGGTGCCCCCCCCAAAAAAATTGAATTTTCGAAAAGGGGGGCTTTCCAGACCTACCAAACACACTGCGTCTCACAACCACACGAGTTCGTGCTTCATCTCACAAAGCTCCACAACCAAGATACAAACCAACACGACATGAGAACGCTCGGGAATTGCAGAGACATCAGAGTCTTATGTATGTACACCCAGGCAGCTATGGCCAACGATCAACAGGTATGCCTCTCCCTCTCTCCCTAATTACCCTCAGCTCTCTCTCTCTCTCTCTCTCTCTCGCGCGCGTTCCTCTTCACTCAGTATACCTCTCTCTCTCACTCTACTACGCTATGGTGTTGGGCTCACTTCATACACTTTGGAAATAAATTATGCCTGAGGAGCAGAAAGGTCTGGCCAGAGCGAGCAGATACGAAGCATCCGGTCTATCTGTCGCTGTAGCCCCTCAGAGATCGTCGCCTCGCCCCCACAATGCGAAGTGGTCTGAATGAGCAGCACCACTTCCTCCCGACAAAAGTCACCCGTGGGAGTCTTGAGACTCCAGTTATGAGTGCCTGACCGTTAGGTTACCTGAAGTTAACTACGTTTGAATTTCGCTGCGTGTACTTTGGCCACAGAGTGACATCTGCACCGTGTGAGATGGTTGCCGATCACATGACTCTCCAACCTAACATCTGTGTCGTGCCTGACACATTGGAATTTGCCCTGAACTATCTGCCTTGAACCACTTGACATTTCCCTGATGTAAGTGAGGGATCGCGTACTGCTTCACAAGTAGAGAGGCAAGCAACAAAGCGCTTGTACAACGTCTTGTTGCTTAGTTGGTAGAGCATTGGGCTTTTAACCCAATGGCCGCCTTCCCTGAAAATGACCGCTCTTCGAGCCTAGCAGAAGTTCACGAAATGTGTTACGTTAAGAGAAGTAAGAGCACTGTGCGGCAGTGCTGCATACCTGCCGACCCCAACCGCCGACCGTTTTGCAGCCGACCAGTAGGGCCGACCGGTTGGCGGTCTGCCGACCAGTCGGTTCGCTTGCTGAGTACAGCCTAAATCCGCTGAGAATTTTTTGGGGATGGGGGGGTTAGTATAGGGGGTATAGGGGGGGTATAGGGGTGGTATAGGGGTATTGGGGGTATTGGGGAGGGGAATGGGGGTGTTGGTGAGCGGTTTTGGGGTGTTGGGGTGGTGTATGGGGGTACTGGGGGCGGGTATGGGGGTGTTGGTGGGGTTATTAGGGGTTTTGGACCCTTTTTTTTTGTGGGGTGCCGACGATCCCCGACCGGTAGGTGCGGACCAGCCGACCAGTCAAGGGCCACCGACCGTCAGGGTATGCAACACTGCTGTGAGGTTTGAAGCTTACTCGTCCCTTGATCCACTGAGCGAGAGCCCTTCCACATGGGGCCCCTGGATCACTATGGCTGACTTTTCCTCTCCATTCGATGCTTGACCGCCGGCTCATATACCAACTGTGCTGACTTCTGGCCGTCGTCGGACTTATGTACTTGCTGCAGTTTCCTATATAGGACTTCTCCAGACTGGTACCTTTCTTGCTGGCTGCAGTGGGCTTCTAATGGATCCGGAGTTTTCATGGACTTTCCAGGGACTGAGCTGCAAACAGAGTGACAGGCTGACATAAGACAGAACTGTGGCAAGCCGGACACCTAACAAACCGGACCTAGTGGATGGAGGGGCCTCCTGGACTTGCTGGATGGGTCTGTGGTGCATGGGACTTTAGGGCTTTTGGGACAGGATCTGGGACATAGACGCTGCAATGCATGAAATCCTTTCACTCCTTCCAAGACGGACAAGTGACTCCACACTGCCTGTAGGCAGCAAGTGCAATCACGTCAATAGTCCTAAGGATGCCCAAATTGAGGGTTGTGCAGCCTCAGGGCCCCCAATTCCAAAGTTGACCCCCTAGGCCCCATCTGGAAGGCCTAGGTAGACATGCCACAGACAGAGAGTATTGTTGTTATTTCTCCCTCCTCGTCCTCCTCCTCCTCATCTCCATCATGCATCCTCTAACTCCTCCTCTGTGCCTCCCTCACCATCATCCCGTACTCCAGTCATCACCCCTTCCTCCTTCGTGCTGTCCTCCAGCCATCAAGAGAGAGAGAGAGAGAGAGAGAGAGAGAGAGAGAGAGAGAGAGAGAGAGCATGGTTTTGTTATCTCCTTGTCCTCCTATGCTCCTCCTTATCTTTATTGTTGCATCCTCTTCCTTCCCTGACCCATCGTCCTCCTCCCTCATCTCTCCTTGGGCGCTCGGTGCATAATGCACCGGATTTTGTGAAAGAAAAAGGAGCCAGCCATAAACAGAGAGAGAGGGGAAGAGAGAAAGATAGAGATGGAGAGATTAACTTCACCTCCCTTCTCTCCTCATCTTCATGATCGCCACAGTGATCATAATCGTCATCATCATCATCCTCTTCATCCTTCAGTGCCTCTTCCTCCCCTATCTCTCCTCAGGCGAGTGCGAAGTGGCACGCAAGTTTTCAAGAGACGACCGAACACCCATCAAGAAAGAGACAGAGAGAGAGAGAAGTCATCCTCCACTGCCTCTTCCTCCCCCATCTCTCCTCAGGCACATTCCAAGTGCCACACTCTAGTAATAAAAAATGTGTGTGCGTGTGTGTGTGTGTGTGTGTGTGTGTGTGTGTGTGTGTGTGTGTGTGTG